CATACTACATATTTATGTTGTTGTTTAAAATATATATTTTCATTGATTTCTACCAAATTGTTTATATAATTAATTGCTTACACATAATAAAAAACTTATCTAACAATAAACTTATCTGTTATTTAGGATTTTTTTTTAATTTTCATTTTCGTATTATAAATAATAATTTTTATCTATCGTTTTATAAGGATTATATTAACACTTGCATCTAAGAGACAGTATTTATTCTTCTCCTTTTACCAATAACTTGTAAAAGAACGAGACAAACAAATTAACGTATTAATTTAACGTATAACTGTCTGTCACAAGTCTTCAAAGCTAACAAAGATTGTTATCATCTCAGGGACTATAAACAGTTTTGTCATGTTTCTATTGTAATGTTAAAATTTAAAATTGAAGATCTAGCAGGACGGTAGCGGAGCGTGTTTGAAGTACCAATTAATAAAGTTGTCCAATCCTATTTTCAAGAACCCTCCAAGTCGCTTCTTGAGACTTTCATACGCTCAAATTCTATTATTTATTTAATAAAGTTAAAAAAAGACAAGACACGATTTGGTTTACTCTCCTCTTACAAAACAAATTTAATTTATTTAATTACGTACTCAAAAAAAAAATAAGTACTCGTAAAATGTATTTGAATGTTTGGACATTAATTTTAAGACTTTAATTATGTTTAGTTAACGTTGTGTACCACTTAAAGTAGATACCTCAATATCAAACTTTAGCATCCGTGGGAGAGTCGTGTTCATTGTTCATGTCCCTTTATCATAAACAAACACTTTATATGGTGTACTCATTACGCTAAATACTATATTGCAAAAAATAATAATTTTGATTCAATTTACAACTGCTGTTAAAGATGTTTTCAAGACACTTTTTCAACTTGTCTTTTTTCATTTAATTAAAATAACTACACATAATTAACCATATTCAAAGTGTTATCTCTATATCTCAGTTTACTACACAATCTACTACGCACTACACTACGCATTTTGCGTCATTGATGACTACAATATTAGACCAACAAAAAAAAAAATGGCTTTTTGCAAAAAAACTATGCAACGAACTACTTAAAAAATAAGCCACATACTCGTATACTACACATCAGAGCCTATGATTTACCTAGTACTACTAGTAGTAATATATTAAAAAAACAATGATTTTTAAGAGGTTGCAACATAACATAAAAAACTTCGTAAAATGTCGAGGAAAATGTATAATGTCGAAAAACTACGTTTCTGCTACTTCAACAGCAAATCACAAAATAATGGCATGAACTCAGCGGTTGCATTTTAGTTTTATTATCATGATGTACCGAGAGGAATCAAAATACGTCGAAATATCACGCTTGGATTTTTTTTTAAACCCTCCTTTTCCTGGTCTATACAGATTTTCCACAGAGAATATGTCACCAATTTATAGCTCCAACAAGTATTAATTAGGAGCCTTAACCTAGGCGGATAATATAGATACCGGATTCAGTCCAAGCTACATCAATCCTATTCGCCTAGACTGCAAGCGGATGAATCTGTCGAGAAAACCTCAATAATAGTAACATAAATTAGACGACCGAAAATAGTTTGGCAAAGTGCGGATTTAGTCCAAGTTATTCTAAATATTTTCAATTAGACGTGCAAGCTGAGTAAGCGGCCCTCGTTACTAATAAGACCGATAATAGAAAACCAAGCATGGTTCGATGGCAACGATAGCGGGTATGGTAACCCACAACGGCAAACAGAGTAAAGTATTAACTGTAATGATGACATTGAAAATAGTTGAGCATGGTATGGCAAAGATAGCGGATTTAGTTCGAGTCGCACCAGATATGTTCACCTAGAACTGCTATATTAGTACGGTCTCACTTACAACATTGATAGCATCGAATGTAACTCTCAAAGAATAATAGACCGGTCCGGTCAGATCTATAGAACATATTGTTATTATGCATATATCAATGCGAACATAATTTAGAATTAAATCATTTTACGAGAAGCGTTTATTATGACGTATGTAATAAGAAAAACATCCGTGTGGTGACGGATTAAGAATACGGAGTGTCACCACCTCTATTCATCCCGTGGGTGTCGTAAGGGCCAACTAAGGGAGCAAACTACGTAGGTCAACAACACTGCAAACAGAACTGCATGGATGGCGTAGTGGTTTAAGCGGTCGCCACGCCGCTCACTACTATGCTGAGTGTTGTGTGCTCCACAAATTGTTTTTCTGAGTCTAGGTGTTCTTTGTGTCAGTTTCATGTATGTTTTTAAAGTGACCCGCGACACAGGATATATTCCTAATGAGTTGTCTTTAAAAAAACAGAAGGAAAACTTGACACAAACCCTATCCCAACTCGTCTGGCTAGCGTGGTATAGTAGGCCAAAACCTCCTTTCTAAGGAGATTTAAGGCCTATGCCCAGCAGTGAACAATTAAAGGCTGTTGATGATGTAAATAAGAATATCCTTGTCATTAAAACGCGATTAAGATGCATCATTGTAAAACTACAATTAAAATAAATGTTTTAAAATAACGTCAATAATTGTACCCGTGCAGTCACTCTATACTGTACTAGGTGGGTTAGGCTTAGTTGTAACACTGTCATATGTATATTAGCCGAGACATTGAATACAAATTCAACATAAATAATAATTAATCTATTTAATGCACCATCCATACATAACTTATGTGTGTGCACTCAGTAACGTAAAACGATGCGATCAAATGTCTTTATCACATCATCGCCCGCAGTTTCTTGGATGTTTGGGTATATGGTATTAGAAATTACGCTCAATTATCAACAAAGGCCCAAACTATTGTATTATTTTCTGAAAATCTTGTTGAAGTATATCGTTCTTGATCGTAATTTATCTGCAAAAGAGAGTTCTGAATTCTGAAGGGTGTTATAATACAACTGTTATATCTAAAGATAAATGGTGGTCGGATAAGTCGGGTCGCCGGAACCCCTTGGGCAGGAGATTAACGATCATTAATGACCGATTGAACCACTTCTGTTACAAGTTAGCACTTGTAAGTACGGGTTACTAATATACTTACTATTATACGTGTGTTGACTAGCAAAGTATAGTTTTGTAGTATAATAAAATATAACAACATATACCTGTATTCCAGAACGGATATGCAGAGGCATATATCTTATATATAAATATCTCGTGTCACAATGTTCGTTCCCGTACTCCTTCGAAACGGCTTGACCGATTCTCATGAAATTTTGTGTGCACATCGGGTAGGTCTGAGAATCGGCCAACATCTATTTTTCATACCCCTAAATGTTAAGGGTGACCCATCCCTGATTTTTTTTTGTTTTGCAATACAACGTTTGCCGGGTCAGCTAGTATAACATAAAAATGAAAACTGACAGACAGACAAATACACATACTCAGGCATGTATATACAAAAATGCACGCATGCACGTACGCACACACACACAGACACACACATAGCTCCAACCAAAATTAAGTCAATCACATAAAATTGTATTTATTATTATTATATATTTAATTCGAGGCAGGCAATGAGTACCAGTATACCGCTCATAAATAACTTTGAAATAGTTTGTAAACTGTAATGCGTCAAAATTTTATTAAACTATTACGATTTGTATTGTCCGTTTCTTAAGCCCTACCCCTTGCGGTAATTTTTTTGTTTAAATGGGGCCAACCTTGAGTGTAACTAATTTAATAAAAAATATTCGGAGTAGAAATTCGTAGAAGATATCGCGTATTAATATATACAAAAATACATTACTACGCCAAATTGAGAACCTCCTTTTTTATGTAGTCGGTTATGAAAGGACGCATGGACGCAATCTTTAAATTACAAGCCTAGTTACTACAGAAAATAATAATAACACGACATTATTTATTTAATTGATTTTTATAAAGATGGTTTGTTTTATCAAATAACCAGCTGACCTGGCCAACGTTGTTCTGCCATATAAATTATACAATAAATCAAATCCCGATTAAAATTTTGAAGGTATGTCGTAATAGGTCGTAAAGTACCTTTAATGAAAGATACTTTTTATTTCGTCTTATATTATATTTTCTTTTTATTCTTATACCTAACAAATTTACGAAACAAAAAAATCATCTAAATCGGTTGAGCCGTTTCGGAGTCGGAGTCGTTAAGTGCGATGCGACCACAAACACCTTGACACGAGATGTTGTATATTAGATATGTTTAGATATTTAGAGTAAAGTTGGGATAATGTATGGCAGGTGGGTACAAAAATGCCTTAGTCAGGGTTCTGTTCACGAGCGTTTTTATGTACGTATTTATCACTGTTGTTATTGCTCGTTTATCTTAATTTGTTTGTAATTGTATTTGGTTGTATGTCTGACATTTATGTAATAAAGATTTTGTATCATTTATTTCACTTTGGTCATTCATACAAAAATTATTGGCGTTCAGACGATAGGGACTTGCTTTTTTTAATAATTATCATTCAACTCATTTTCATGTTTTTTTTTTATAAACATGTGTATGTAAAATGTTACTCGTACTTCTCGGTACTAAGAATAAATGGCACTTGGAAATCTGCTTCAAACAAACGAGTAGGTAGGTACTTTAAATTAAGATGAGTTCATCTACTCATCTTAATTTAAAGTACCTACCTACTTGAAATAAGAAACACCTTCTTGAAGTGTACAATTTTTTTTAAATTATATTTAATACTTATTTTGGGCAGATAACGTAGCAAGACCTAAACTATTAAAACTGGTCTCTTAGCGACCACTTGCAAATAAAACTGTGACTAACGAAAAGTCAAATAGGTTGTGTAGTACAATAACTTTAATGGTTCTTTTTTATTATGTAAAAGGCGATAAAGTAACGTTAAAGTTACCTTTCTGATAATCCTAACTCTAGAATCGTTCAATATTTTCTTGCTTTATCTGCAGAAATAATAGAGTAATAAGCGTGCATGCCCGGCTATAGCATATTTCGGCATGTACTATTAATAAAATGATTTAACATCACTTACTTATATCCAGCTAATATGTTTAGTAGTGTAGACTTCCCAGCTCCAGAGTGTCCTAAGATGCAGGTTAGTTCACCAGAGCGGAGCTCCCCAGAAACATTGTGGAGAATGTTTCGTTCACCTTAACAAAAGAAAAAATAGTTATGAACTTAGCACTTACTAGATATAAAATATATACATACAAAAATTTATACATGAAAGAAGGCAATTTAAGAGTAATATGAGACCGTGCCTAACTCTGACTCTGTCTGAATTAAGCAGAGATTAAAAAAACTATTAATTAAATGAAGATAAAAAAAAATTTGTTAAATCATAATCACCAACTCACCAACACATGTACTCACTGTATAAAACAATAAATTTATCACAAGATAGTTTTTGAAATGGAAACTTTAATTAAGGTTACAAATAAATAAAGGTTTTGTTTAATTTACTTAGGATTAGAAGTTAATAACGTAAACATTTATAGTCTTCATGGCTGTACAACTTATTATTACTTATTATGCCTACTGCCTACGTAATATGTGTGGTGACGGATTAAGAATACAGAGTATCACCACCCCTATTCAGACTAAGGGAGCAAACTACGCAGGACAACAGCACTGCAAAAAGAAGGAAAACTTGAAACAAACCCTATACCAGCCCGTCTGGCCAGCGGGGTATAGTAGGTCAAAACCATTCCATTTTAAGGATGTCCAACAGTGGATTATTGAAAGCTATTGACAGCTGTTGATGATGATTATGAGGACGCTGATTTCAAATTGTATATTGTGCGATTTGGCAGAACAGCTCTCTCTCTCAGCTGCTTAGATTGCTAAATAAACACTACCTACTTGTACATCATCATTATCATCTCAGGCGAAACGCCCACTTCTGGAAATAGGCCTCAACCAAGGTTCGCCATAACAACCGGTTCTGTGGTGCCAGGTGGTCCGACGACCTGGTTAAGGTCGCGGGATGTCGTTGAACGCTCGCAGGACAGGACCGGTTGTTGTACCTATTTAGTTAAATAACTGTATCCTAGTTTTTTAGAAAGGTTCTAATTAAACAAAGCAGAAATCATACCATCTTTTTACTGATAACTATTATATGTTACACAGACCGATCCAAGTGAATTTATCACAAAATGAATCAGAATATAACAAAGGTTACCTGTTCAACCTGTTATCCCGATCGGTTTAATTAGAATCATTCGATGTATATCGAACAAAGCAGGGTATTATTGACTGTTATAAATGTTTTAAACTGAACTGTTCTATAGTTATAAATTTCTGTAGCTGAATCTATGAAAATTTCTTTTGGTTGATAATGCTGTCATAATTAATTATAAAGTAATAATTTCGTCTAAGTCTTCAACATAACTGCTTTGTTTGCGAAATTCTGTGCAGAGTAACTGCCAGCTCACGCAATCGTAGTGCGTCAAAACGAATATCGACCATAATTATTGTTCTACTGATAACTAGTAGGTACTAATGACGTGTTGATCACCTATAATTGGCCGCCAAGTTAATGATCCGGGTACAGCTACGTTAATCATAAACACTGCTTTACGGAAGCACAAGGCAATGTTATCTCATAGTCATTTATTTATATGGATGCTGGAAAAATTCTGGGCTTCATAAATGATCGGGGGGCGATACTTTGCAGACGGTATATTTATAAAACGATGGCAATTAAATCTCCGGAACAGATTATTGCAGAATCAGTAGGCCGTTTTACTCGAGTGAAGATTCCACAGATGATTGTCTGGATGGAAATAAACCGTTTATAACCAACCGGTTTTCCTTCATTTAAAATAACTCAACTGGTAGACGTTGCGACAATAAAGCTGCAGCATTACCCAGAGCTAGTCCCTGATGGATTAGCGCTGGTGACAAATGGGCTTTATTGTAATACCTCATCTGTAAGATGACGTCCTCGTCGCAGATCGCGGTAGCTGTAATACAATTGTCCAGAGAAAACGACTCGGGTCCCTGCAGAAAGATCAAGATAATGTATAACCCCAAGCTGTACAAAGTTAAAGAATTTGTACTCTTGCTGTTCACTGAATTGGCTCGTGACAAACTAATGCGCGTGCTTTTCTTAAGGACTTTACCGCTCTAAGGAAAGCAATATTGATCGCTAGCCTTAATCAGTTTCATTATAATGGTCTTGGATAGCATTATATACAGATTTATAACAACAAATATATTTCTATGTATTTAACTATATTATAACATAGTAGTACAGTAGTTAAGTCGTTCAGGACCTTTCATCATGTTTAAGGTAATTGAAAACGTCATCCATTCATCATTAGGCGTATAATATCACACACTTTCTTTCAATATTATTTAATATTTATCGACTAATTAAGCTTATAAATATCAATTTTTCTTCTTGGCGACGACGGAAAACTTCATCTTAAAAAAAGGGAACATGACACAAGTTTGTGTCGTAAGGCAGACATTTTCTGAAATTCTACGTTGCTTTACTCAAATTATCAGGCACGTAGGATCAGATTACATAAATGTGAAAAGCAGGTCGGATATTGCAGAGATAATGAAAACATACGCCTCTGAAATAAGTGTAGAAATGCTTTAATGTCTTTGGTGCTTTTGATTTAGTGTAAGAGATCATCTATAATTTACGTGACAAAATATCATAATTTATTGTTTGTCATATATTTCACCTGAAATTGTACGTCTAGAACTGAACACAATAAACGTAGCAGTTTTTTTATATTATAGAAAATTTACAAAACAAAACCTAATTAAGAAACAAAAAATAATTACTTATGTTTATAATAAATCTTAAAATGAAAATAAACATCTTGTGTCTATGGCCTTTTAACCTCCACTTCTTTGTAGTAGAATATATTATCCTAGAACAGTCTCTAATTAATCGTTAACTTTTTTTTTTTACGTGTGGGAACAACCTCAGGCCTTCACCCTACCGGGGTTTGCAGCAGAGTGGTGTGTCGGAGTCGGACCGACCGAAACCACACGGTGTGATGAAGACATTCGACCCCTCCTAAGTAAATACAATATGAGTCTTTATTGAGCTTATAATGTGCGCCAAGTTTTGCAGCAATATTACAATTCTGGTTTCAAACAAGATTTGGCTGGCTTTTGCGCACTAAGATCGAGCCAATCAGCAACTCGTTCAAAAGACGGACGCCATGAGACTTGTACGGATTTCTGAATTAAAATCTCTTTCTTATATTATTTTCTTGTATTATATATCTTATAGACAAAACATAGAACATAAGGTTGGTATTATAATTGCCCACGTTGATGTGCCTTGACTTTTCTTATTTCCCGTATAATACACTACCTGACCGGTAGAATTTCTGCTTCTCCATCTCCCAGGAATAAATTTTTCTCCTTTTCTCAACATTTTTATTTATGTTCGGCCTTCCTCGATGAGCTATCCAACTAGTAGTTCCTCAGATAAATAAACTATTCGCCTTACAAAACTAGTATAGATACTCACTTAAGAGCGGCAGGTTCGTTCCAATCAAACCTCCGTATACACCACATTGAAATTCATGCCCCAACTCCAACAAGGGCCACGTTGTAAATGCATTCCGGTAGTGCAGCAATTCAACATGGTGACTGATTGTGTACCTTACATTATTAGTAAATTGTTCTACTTAGATGTTAAATCTGATTATTTTAGGTATTTGTACGAGAGAAGTTTTGTCTTCCAGCTTTCGGAAATCATATACGATGTCGCTATCGTACATACAAATGGTGTTGGGGTTATCTCGTCGTTAAGGGTACGGTAGTTGGTAGTTGTGGTTGTAGGTAAATAGTTCACACCACCATCTTATTAAATCGTAGTTATCGAATCTTAGCATCGAACCAATGTCCCTGTGTTTCAATGTGTTCATACCTTTATTAAAAAAATCTACATAATATTATTGTGCTGGCATTGCTGACTTTATTAGGTAATGAAGGAAGTTGGTTTTTAAAGGACAATATTTATCATGTAAATAAGTAGGATAAAAAAGTTTCTTGTAGTTTAACAAAACAACCGCAATGTAATTATTAAGTGAATGATTATATACTTGAAAGTGACATTTTATACAATTTGTCTTTAAGAAAGCAATTATTCTATAATGCGGAAATATTGTCTGACCTATTCGATATGAGTAAGTGTTGTCGCCTTATGGTGTTAATTAAACAATGTTGCAAGAAATTTCTTTATTTTTACATATCCACATAATTTTTCCTTTCAACTGAAGTTTTTTTCTGTTAAATTGGTAAATACACACTGTATACGAAATACCTGATCAAGGTTACCTGTTATTCCAGTAAGATATATATATTTATATATATATATATATATATATATATATAAATATTATTAAAAATACAATCGCAACCCGCAACTCTGTCACACAGAACCGGGGGTCTTGGCTTAACCGCCCGGGCCGAGAGGTAGCAACTCTCTATACAAAAGTCTCCAATCCTAAAGTGGGAACGTGCTGAAAGGATGCATGGCTTGCGGAAGAAAAGTCACTAGCGCCAACTTCGACGGACCCGGCTAACGTCGTCGTATGGAGCCTTCCTGGAGGAATGGGCGTCACCCCCCAGTGCTGACGTTTTAGATCGACCCTACTCGTGGGAACAATATGACGAATGATTCAGAACTAAATACAAACACCCAACTAAACCCAAAGATGGTACAACAACGTCTACATAAAAGCATGTTTACAAGACAAAGATGTAACTCGACACCATCTATATTAGAGACACTACAAGATATACAAAGTAAAAATTGCTCGCAAAACAATGAACAAGCTGCACAAAATAATGATGAACGAACAAGAATAAATCAGGACAAAGAAACTTGGCAAAACGACCGCGTACCTGCTAAAAGAAATAAAAGGAAAGAAACTAGCCCAATACGCAATGAGATCAACAAAAAAATAAAAAACAACACAAAATACACTATACTAACACAGAATAGATTTGAAATACTAGAAGATGAACAACCACAAAACTCTAATAAACAGGAAAAGGAATACATACCTAAACCTGAACCAATATTCGTCACAGGAGTATTAAATGTAGCATCCCTTAAGGAAACTATGAATAAGTTTCTGGAAACTAACACATATACTATGACGACACTCAG